CCATAAACTACCGTGTGTGGCTGGCAGACAGGCCAGCAGCTGGTGTGAGCTGCCAAGAGCCGCCATGAGCAGCCATCCAGAGGCCAGCGACCGATCTGCCTCATTTGGGAAGAACGCAATGACAATACCAACACGGGCCAGTGAAGCGACGTCCTCCACAGCTAGACTGAAGAAAAAAGACAGCAACTTGTCTGTTCCCCTTCCCCCATTCCCCAATAAAATCTTTATTAAAAAATAAAAGCAGATATAAACCAAATAATTTTTAGCCCTGTCCCTAATGCTTTTAAAATTAGCTCAAAGACAATGTAACCTAATGTGAAAACGACCCTATGCTAGAGATTGTCTTTTGGACTCAAAAGGAATTTTAGTTTAGTATTTTTACACCTCTCTCTCCATTGTTAGCATTATCAGAAAATTCTGCAAAAAAGAACAAGCATAACCATCTCAAAACTATACTATCTCCCTCCCCACAAAAGGTTCTTTACCAATGTCTCCAATTACGGCGAATGGCACAAAATTCCATCCAGTCCCAAAGCCACAAATTCATGATTTTGATGCCTTCCTTTCTTCTTCCATATCTAATCCATTGAAGTCCTATTCCTAAATGCTTCTCAAATAATCCCCTTCGCTCCAACTCTATCATGAGGTATAACCTAACTAGTCCCCCATCTGTTCTCCATAATGCACAAATTCCAAATCCCAGCAGTTTGGCTCTTACCTTTCTCCAGCCTCCACTTGGAAGATGGACGTGTTCCCCATGCTGCATCTACAGGATCCTACAATTCTTCCAATGATTTACAGGTAGCATGTACAGGTTGTCCCCTCATCTGGAACACCCGCCTCCTGCTCACCTAATTAACAACTCCTTCAGGTATTTGTCCTGTTCCTCGGGAAAGCATTCTATCCCTGAATCATCCCCCACTCCAACCGCATAGATTCTAATTCCAGCTTTCATATTTACTACTGGTCTAATTTTGCAATTACTTATGACTGTTGCATACTAAGCACCATAAGGGCAGGAATCCACTGCTGCCTAGTACATTGCCTGGATTACAGCACGCAACAAATACTGGGTGAATGAATACACTTCACCCACCATGATTAGCTTTAATGGTAAGTCAAAACACTCAGTTTTGACGAGTTAAGGTCATGGTTACTTGTATAGGCAAAATTTGGAATGTAGAAAAAGCAAAATTAGAACTTAAGAGGCATCATTCAAAATACAAGTGTGTAAAGATAAAAAACAGCCTACATAATATTAAAGGAAGGCTGGAGTCCTACTATGGTTTAGTAAGTCCAATACAGTAGGTATACAAAGGCACAGGAGAGAAGTAAAGCAACTTCAAAGGTATGCAGAACAGCTTGCAAAAATGAATTTTAAAAGATAACGCGTAGATAGCTTGCTCCTTTCCACACACCAAAAGAAAATGAAGGTCCTTATTTGGGAGCATTATGAAGAAAGTGAAAACATCCTAATTCCTTTGAACTCTGATACAAACTAAAGACACTCTTGACAATTTTTATTCCAGAGACTTTTAAGGAAATTCACAATCCTTTAGTAGTAAAGTTAAACTTTTCATAAAAACTTCCAAGCATGTAACTGAAATTTAAACTTGGAGACATACTTAGGTTCATATTTTCTAACAAGGAATAAATATATAAGGTTATCTCAGTAAGAGACTCGTGACAAACCCATTCATTTTAAATACCAAAAGCCCACATCAAATTAAGTCTACCAATTCGGTAATTAGTCCACTAAAAACACACAATTACATTGTATTCTTAATATTGAAAAGAAATGTAAGTTATGCACCACCCCCCCCCAGTCTTGGCCAAATAAAGTAACATACTGACATAAGGCACTAAAGCTTTGTTAGCACGTAACCCTTGTAAACCTGTCCTTCCGTTCACTGATATTAACTATCTCATTGAGACAAACAACTGTTCATTAGCAAATTAAAGGTTTTAACTGTTTAAAGGGCAATGCTACTAATGAACCACATGTAGATAGTATAACACTCAAAATATCTTATTGTACTGTACTCACCGTTTCACTTAAAGGAAGCACTTTATGGCTTCTCTCTGGTATATCCAAATTGCCAGCATCACTACTCTTGTGATGCAGGGCCATTAAGTAAAATAAGGGTTACTTGAACACAGGCACTGTGATACAGTAACAGTCAATCTGATAACCAGGAGTGACTAATGGCCGGGTAACATATACAGGGTGGATACACTGGACAAAGGGCTAATCCATATCCCAGGCACATTACTCAGAATGGCATGCAATTTAAAACTTATGAATTGTTTATTTCTGGAATTTTCCATTTAATATTTTTGGAGCATGACTGCCGCATCCGAAACCACAGAAAGCAAAACTGTGGATAAGGGACTGCTGTATTATTTTTGACAAGAGTTGAGCTGTCACATTAATTTACAGATACCAGCTGTTAAAACACTAGATTGACTCAGCTTTTCCATTTTTACCTTCTTATCATAGTTTTAAAAAGCTTAAAAGACCTATTTAGATTTCCCAGTGAACTTTTCCTTTAAAAAGCTACCAAAACCTTTCAGCTTTAGGGTTTGATACCATCAAAGCAAAGATGTGGTTGAAAAGTAAAGGTAACCTAAGTGGTTTTCTCTTGGAAATGAAAGTTTTAAAAGCCCAGAATTTACATACATGTCTGTCCATAATCTGCCCAATGAAGGCAAAATCTTTAAGCTGTGCATAGCTGTACGATTTTTTCCTGTTCAATAACTGCTTCTGACACAAAAACTTACGAAAACCTCAGAATCACAAAGCTGAATCTTCTAGCTCTCTGCCCTCACTTGACACATGAAATATCACACATATCCTGCCTCCCCTGCCCTCCCCAAAACAAAACACCAACTGAGACCAGGATAGTGATGAAACTAGAGATAGAGAGTGGGTAACATATAAAATTATTGAAAAGTAAATACAAGAAGTCATTAGACATAAACCACCTGGAGAAAAGAAAACCAGTCCTGCTTTTAAATAATTTTATTTTTTCTAATTTTTGTTACTTTAATTTCTCATAGCACCTTGGCAATGTTGAAAACAAAAATACAAATACAAGGATGTACTCATTTTAACATAATAGCATGTGTCACACCATTTTTGGGGGGATGGTTTAGACAACAGGAATAACCTAAGTAATGGACAAAAAAGAGCCAGATAACTGGTTCTGACCTCTAACACAAACGTTTGAGATGTCGCCCAAGGGACACCTGAATGAGAAAAAAAATTAACTGTGGATGTTTCTTCCACTATAGGCTAATCAGTGTTTTGGGCTGCAAAACTGAAAATAAAACCATTTTATTTTATACACAGCCTGTTGGTATCCTTTAGGAACTGTCTACTGGGCAATTTATAAGTGCTCAGCTTAAAGAAAACCTTTAATAATTAGGTGTATTTTGAAACAGAATTTACTCTCAACTTGAAAACAAATTTTATTTCAACTTCTTAAAATGTCCTCAGTCAGCTAATAAAAACTGAAATGTCTATGTATCTTGTTGGAAGCTCAGATTAGCTACATCAGCATACATCAAAAGCCTAAAGTTAAATTAATAGCCACCAAGTTGTAAGGAAATATAAAAAATTAGTAAAAATCCCCCATCATATAGTTAAGAATTTATAAAAATCCCTTAAAAGGAATATATTGTCCTCTTTTGCATTTTATCGTCTCTATAAAAACAAACAAATGGATATTTTAAAAACATGGTTAACATACTTGGCCAACACAAACATCAGACTTTACCCCAGGGCTGGTCAACTGTGTCAAAGTGAAACCAGTGGACATGTAAGCCAAAAGATTAAATACTAAGGCCATAACTAATAAGACCAGAGGAAGTATTCAGTAACTTTTAAATACTATTTTCTGCTCCAGCAGATGCTAATAATCAATCATTAAGCTTTCTGCAAAGCCAACCTGATTAAAAAAAAAAAAAAAGGAATGTGAAACAATATTCAAGCTACCTTAATTTTAGGAACCAAAAATAAATTAAAAACTGCATGTCATCTGATCACATGCAAATTAAGCACATAAGATGACCACAACAATAACCCCTATCACAGAAAGATTTTATCTTCTCACAAAATCCAGTTGAAAAAAATTTAGACGGATCACTCTTTTCAATGCCAGTGTCTACATTTGCAAAAATGAAGTCATTCAGATTAGAGACAGGCCCTAGATATCACGAAAACCTTAATAATCAGGATAGAAAATGGAGATAGGTTTTGTAATCTCTCTATACACCTCCATGAAGTGCAAGGTGGTGAAATTCTGTGACTCTCGTTCTCTTCATGCAGTAAGAACTATGGCAGAAGATCAATGTACCATACAATCAGTATCATTTGCATCTACTTTTAGTCGTCAACAACCGAAGAAGTGTTAAGTCAAAAAGATGAAGAGAAAAATTTGACATATAAATTCTTCCTTCTAAAAAACCAAATAAATAGCTGAACTATAATGTATAATGAATGCCCAACCCTTATCATTTACAGAGTAATGCTGGAGAAAAAAGCCAACAGTTTCACACAACTCACAGGCATCATTTAGATACAAACCTTAAATCTGCTGTAATAAAATAAATGCTAAATACATACTGTGAATATATATATTTTATGTACACACACACACACACACGCACACATTCATTCTTCCCTATACATCCCATCAAAATGGGAGCTATTAGCTATCATGATGCAAATTAAATTAAAACAATATATTTTATAAGAAACTTCAAAAGGTCATGTCTTTAAATTTCTACTTTCAATAACATTTTGGGAAAAAGTAAGAACGAACTTGCTTTCTTCAAAAAGAAGACTCTTTTCTTGTTTTCAATTAGAATATTTAGTTTTTAGAAGTTGGGTAAGTCACACAAGCATACAAGTTATACAAGCCCACTTCTGTGACACGTTGTAAAAAAAAAAAAGCTTTGTTTCAAGTGCAATAATTAAGTTTATAATCCTTGCCAAGTGATTTTTATAAAATGTTTATTCTCTTAAATCCAATGCATTCACAGAGTGTTAACACTTTAAATGTTTATCATTTCCACCAACTGCAGCATTATCTAAGTAAACCAAAATAAGCACTTTTATCATAGATGTAGTCAATGATTATTAATACTTTTTCATAAAAGAACCTAAACTTCCCCCAAATTTTTAGCACAGGCAGTTTAATTGTATGTTTCGTCTAGTAGATGATTTAAAAAAATAGTGTGTAGAAATGAATAGTTCCAAACTACTTAAATATATTACACCACGTTATGAATCCACCAAATCAAAAGCAATTGCCAAGCTGAATAAGTTACAAAGAAATGGTAATTCTGGCTTGTACAGAAATGTGCAGTGTTTTCAAAGCTTTGAACAGTTACCTACTAATACAAATCTCCAAAGCTTAACTGAAGAGTTGGAAGATGAGTTTCACAGTAATGTAATTTTAACTTCCATTTACATTCATTTTAATATATTACTAAGATGTTTACTCTATGTCACAATGGTGCTTTCCAGTGTTCACAAATTACAGTTTCAATTTGTACATATGTAATTCACTTAATATAAGGGACAGTTATTACTATTACAAACTATCCCTAAAAAGAAAACAAACCCCACTTTACACAGAACTCTGAAAATGGTATGACTTAAAACAGATTAATGTAACATGGTTTTTAACATTTTAGCCATTTTCTAAATACCAGCATGTAAACTTGCTTATTTAATATGAGAGCTATAACTTTATTCACTGAGAAATTATGTATTAATTTTCTTCCACTATCTTTCCTTTCTCACCTTAACTCAAAAATCTTGCTGGTTCTGTTTCTGTGAATTCCAAACTGTATTTTTTTATTTTTTATTTTTTTATTTTTTGAGAAAGGGAAGGAAGGCAGGCGATAAATACACTGTAAATAGAAAAAGCTGCCCCCAAATTAAGCCTTTAAAAAATTCTTTTTACTTCTACACTATTCAACACTTTAAGAGAGTCAATTAATGTTTCATCTTTAATACTAACACAAATAAATTACTGTAGGGTCAGTCTGCCCTACCATTCTGGGATCTGAAGTTCTAAATACTTGAACGGAAGAGTAAAATACTTAACTGTTTAATTCAGAAATTTAGAACAGTTATGAGATTTGACTGGTCAAGGCAGTTAGAAACATACAATTACATAGGTGTTTGGTTATTTTGCTTTTGGGGGTTGGTAGTCAAAGAACAGAGACTAACAAATGAAGTAACCAAAAAAGTTGTTTCCTATTTTAGGGGGGAAAAAAATCACAGAGCAGTTTACACCTCTAAAGTTCATTTGACCTATCCACTCAGATCTAAGACAGATTTTCAATTTTTTAATAACCCCCATTCTTTCCTTGAGTATCAAACTGATTGGTAGTCATCTCCAAGTACAATCAGGGTTTTAACAGCTTCATGTTGAATGAAATATCAGTAAGGTCAAAAAGAGACTACATTTCAAACTGGAAAAAAAATCTACTCAAGTACGTAGTACATTCAATTTTCAAATCATTTACTAACATGACAACAGATTTGGCTCCGATCACTCGTGCACACACTCACACAACAGGCATCCCAGCCACTGATCTGCTTTGCAACACAAGGCCATATAGGCAGAGATGGCATTTTCCAAGCCAAACTTTAAATAGATTAAAAAAATTTCTAATTTTACAGAAATGCTTCTTCAAAAAATATTTTCTCTCACTCCCTCATCTCTTATACTGAAGGATGTGTAATATGTTTTTCCCCCAAGCTAAATCTGAACCCTCAAAATTGATTCCAGGCAGAAGATCTCTGCAAATTAAAATCAAAAACAAAAATAGAAAAATTATATTTTTATATATGTATACATATATATATATTTATACTGATTGGACTCCTCCAGCATTTTAAAATCACTTTAGAGATGAATTTTGGGATTCTACTGCTCACAACTCCAAAATCCATAATGATTTAAAGACAGACTTTCTCCTGTTTCCTTCCTGGCTACCCGCTCCCCTCCAAAACAGTTCGGTACTGCCACAGCGGCTCAAGTTTAATGGGAAGAGAGAGAAGTTTTTGAATAGTTTTTTTGTTGTTGTTTGTTTTTTTACTTTGGTGATCTGGGTGGCACATATTGCTCTTTGCCGTTACGTCGAGTCACTCCCTGAGGTATAGCCCTATGGCCAAACTGGCGTCTCTGTTCCCTGATTTTTCCAGCTGTTCCCCTAGGAATGGTATTGCCTCGGAAGCCAGAATAATCCTTACTAGCCCTTGCTTCTGGCTTCTCATGTGGTTTCTCAATGGACTTCTCAGGAGCTCCATTCTCTTCATTTTTGGTGGGAGACACTACATTGGAGCGAAGTTCTCGTAGTGGCTGCACAGGAACTGGAGATGGCTCTTTAGGGGGCTTCTGGCACACTTCAGCATAACTTAGCTTTCGGGGTTCCTTTCAAGTGAAGATCAGAAACAAAAAGATTTATGGCACACATTCTCTAAGTACTAAAATACAAAAAGGACAGTATTAACCACAAGAAACAGTAAGGTATCCTCTAAAGGAAAGGGCAATAGGCACTCTCATATACAATACTATTAAAGTGTATCAGTACCATCTTTTTTTCTTTTTTTTTTTTATTGGGGAACACTGTGTTTTTCCAGGACCCATCAGCTCCAAGTCGAGTAGTTGTTTCAATCTAGCTGGGGAGGGTGCAACTCAGTGGCCCATGTGGGGATCGAACTGGCAACCTTGGTGTTATGAGCACTGCGCTCTAACCAACTGAGCTAACTGGCTGCCCCTACAATCTTTTAAAAACATACATTTGTTGAAAAATTATAAAAACCTTAGTAATTTATGTATAAAACAATATTTTCACTTGAGGAATTTATTTGAAGGATGTTCATGTCACATTATTTATAGTGATGAAAAAAACTGGAAACCTAAATGTCTAACAAGGAAGGACAGATTACATTAATTATGGTCCATCCATATGATGAAATAAAATGGCTTCATTCTCTCTTCCCTGGCTACAAAGAACCCTGAGAAAGATTCCACAAGAATCTCAGCAGAGCAGTTGGAAACCAATCATATAATAGAAGACTAATTAAAAGTCTTAACTACCTCATCTGAAAAAGGAGGACAATAGGAGTGCTGTAAGAATGGGATTAAGTATGTAAAAGGTCTTTAGTAGTGGTCCTAGCATACAGTAGGCATTCAATAATTGATAGCTGTTATCCTATTATTATTATTATTATTATTAAATGACAAGATAAAATGTTCTTAACCTAGAAAAATAAAGAGCTGTACCAAAATGCTACTATTATATCAATGAATAAAAAGATTATAGGTAAATTTTGTGGGTCCCCCGCCCCCCGCTTTTCTGTATTTTCCTAATTATAAAAATTATTCTGGAAAGTGAATAAAAATGAGTGGTCCTTCGTGGGTTCCACAGATTTAAGCATTATACAAAAAAAATTTCAAGAGGCTCAAGGCATCTTCACACTAACCCAAAAATGATATATACAACATAAAAAAGCTTCACTTAACCATAATATGATCAGAGAAAAAGCAATCAAAAGAAACAGAATGAATAGTAACTTCTTCCCTCCCTCAACATGGCTAAAAATTCCATTTCTTCACAGTGACTTTAAACTTTAGCTTCAGACAGCCCAAATTTGGGCTATTTCCAAGTGACACTGCTCTAGCAAAGAGTTACGGGAAAAGCATAATTTCTCATTATTTACCCTATTATTTTTTCCTTACATAAAACTAAATTCATCAAGTTACCTGCAGGGCCACAGTTACAGCTGCATTTATGTTACTATTACAGGGGGAAGCAGTATTCGTCCTTGATGGCTTTGCAGTGCTTGGGGGAGAAGAAACTGATACAGTCGTCTGGTTGAGAACATCCTTCTGAACGGTGGAATCCTCTAGTAAATCCTTTTCTTGCTGAGTTGTGCTAAGGAAAAAAAGAGCTTGACATCAGACTTAATATAGCAAACAGAAACAGGTGAGCAAATGATCAGAAGAAAAAGTAATCATAATGAGGTAATATACTGAAACCTGTACCTTAATGCAGGAGGCTCAGCTGTACATGGAGGAGTAGTATTCATACTGAGTTGTTGGGCAGAGGTGCGGTCTGTCTGTTCATCCTCTGCAGGCACTGGACAACTAACTCTCAACTCTTCATTATCCTTAAAGTAAAAACATATTTCAAAATTACACTTGAAGTACAGGATAAAGAACACAGTCAATAATATTGTAATAAGAATGTATGGTGTCGGGTGGGTACTAGACTTATCAGGGGGATCACTTTGTTAAGTTATATAAATGTTTAACCACTATGCTGTACACCTAAAACTAATATAATATTGAATGTCAACTGTAATTGAAAAATTTAAAGTTTTTTTAAATTGCTTTTATATAGATACCTCTCCAAATAAGATATACAAAGGGCCAACAAGCATATATTAAAGATGCTCAACATCATTAATCACCAGGGAAATGCAAATCGAAACCACCATGTGACATCACTTCACACTCACTAGGACAGCTATAATCAATAAGACAGACAATAACAAATGTTAGTGATGCTACTGGAGCTCTCATACATTGAGAGTGGCAATGTAAAATGGTACAGCCACTTTGGAAAACAGTCTGGCAATTCCTCAAAAAGTTAAATGTAGTAACCATATGACCTAACAAATTCCACTCCTGGGTACACAACCAAGAGAAAACATGTTTGCACAAAAATCTATGCACAAAAATTCAGAGTAGCATTATTCATGACAGCCTGGTGAATGGATAAATAAAATGTGGAACAGTGGTTCCCCCTTACCCACAGGAGATATGTTCCAAGACCCCCAGTGGATGCCTGAAACCCTAGATAGTACTGAACCCCATATAAGATTTTTAAATTTAAATGTATTTGTATGTATATGATTTTTTTTGTTGTTTTTTTATTGGGGAATTGGGGGAGGGGAACAGACAAGTTGCTGTCCTTTTGTTCTTCAGTCTAGTTGTGGAGGACATCGCTTCACTGGCCCATGTTGGTATTATCATTGCGCTCTTCCTGGGTGAGGCAGATTGGTCGCTGGCCACTGGACGGTCGCTCATGGCGGCTCTTTTGACAGCTCACACCGCCTGCCAGCCACTCACCGTAGCTTACTGCAGCCTATGCTGTTGCCAGCAACTCTTGGCAGCCCAGCTCCAGGTCGAGCTGTTGTTCACCATCTTAGCTGTAGAGGGCGCAGCATCACTGGCTCTCATGTGGATTCCAAACCAGGGCCCTGCTGCTCAGAGCTGGCGTCCCAGGCCAGCACTTAACCAACAAGCCACTCGGCTGGCCCTGTATATGATTTTTTAATTTATAAATTTGGCCCAGTAAGAGATTAATAATAAAATTTAACAGTTATAACAATATACTGTAATAAAAGTTTTGTGGATGTGGTGGTCTGTCTCTCAAAATATCTTATTGTACTGTACTTACTGCTTCACTTAAAGGAAGCAGTTTACAGTTTCTCTTGGGCATATCTGAATTGCCAGCATCACTACTCTTGCACTTTAGGGCATTAAGTAAAATAAGGGATACTTGAACACAAGCACTGTGATACTGTGATAGTTAATCTGATAACCGAGAGTGACTTACGACTGGGTAGCACATACAGTGTGGATACACTGGACAAAGGGATGATTCACATCCCAGGCATGCTACTCAGAATGGCATGCAATGTAAAACTTATGAACTATTTGTGGAATTTTTAATTAATATTTTTGGAGTGTGACTATCGTGGGTAAATGAAACCATGGAAAGCGAAATTGCATGTAAGGGGGGAACCTACTATATATACGTACAATGGAATATTATTGCACGATGAAAGGAATGAAGAACTAAACATGCTACAACAATGGATGAATCTTGAAAGCAATATGCTAAGTGAAACAAGCCAGTCACAAAAAGATCAACATACTCTATGATTCCAGTTATATGAAGTACCTAGAATAATCAAATTCATAGAACAAAGTAGAACTGTGGTAGCCAGGGCTGAGGGAAAGGGGAATGAAGTTGCTGTTTAATGGGTAGAGCATTTTAGTTTTGTAAGATGAAAAGAGTTCTGGAGATTGGCTGCACAACAATGTGCATGTATTTAACACTACTGAAGTATACACACTTCACAATGGTTAAGATGGTAAATTTTATGTCATGTGTATTTTACCACAATTAAAACAAGAAAAACAAGAAAAGAGCCCTAGAAATTAACATCTAAAATACTAAAAGCTTTTTATTCAGGAAGCTTGAGAAGACGTGACCCATCAATATGGGAAAATAAAACAAGAGTAAGAAAAAGAGGAACTCCAATAAAGGAGAATAAGGAAAATTCCCACGATGATGGCGAAGTCCCAGGAATACAGGGGTGCAGCAGGCCACTGAGTGTAAGAAAGGAGAAATACTAACTATATACTATGAGGCTAGGTTATGAAGAAAATATGTAATACTGGGATGAGACTTACAAATGAGGGCATGTCACAGTATAACTGGGAATGCTTTTCACTTTTTTAGTGATACTAAAATAATGGGGCATCTTATAATTGATGGCATCCTAATATGAAGTACAATCTACTGTGAGGATGAGCAAAGTATCTTGGTTTAAGAGAGCTAAATCCTTAGCTTCTAGAATGTAAAGGCAACATATAGAACTGAAAAGTCAAGGAACAGTAGTATAACTGCGTTAATTAGAAATACAGGGATAGATGTCAGGAGAAAAAGCTAGGGTTGAAAGTGGTTGTAGGAGACTACTATTTTCATTATAAGCCTTGAAATACTGTGTACAAATACTATTAAAATAAGATTGAGTTTACCAAACTAGCCTAGAATTCATTTACAGTATTGGTTAATTATAGGCACTTAAGTGGAAATGACTTTCCATTCAGCTTGCATTAATCAGTTCTACCAAACTGAGTGATACAAAGACATACAGAAGAGAAGAAACATTTTATTAACCTTGTGTAGCTTTATCATAAATCTTTTTATAACACTCAAAGCATGCTGAAAAACCTCATGAAAAAAACTGTTAGAAATACTTATTAAGTGCAAATAAAAATTTAATAATAACTCTGAAAACATAGGTTAATACTGTTCCATAAGGTAAAAGACTGGATGTTTTAGTGTTTACCTTTTCTTTGTAGACACCTTTAACAACATCAGACATCCTACTCTCCAAAACAAGTTCACCTGGTGTTCTTGATGAACTCCCAGGTAAAGGAGGAAAATTTGAGGCTAATAAGTCAAACTTTGGTGTTGGAGCCTTAGCTTCAGCTGCTGAAGGATGGGGTCTCTAAAAGACACAAATCATAAAACAGGTCACATGCCTATCTCATTCATTCTCTAATCCTATACCACAGAAGCTGAAAGCTTCAAAAAACAAACCCTACCCTACTGCACAGAATTGTTCCCCTGTAAATTCTTGGCTTCTCATCTCAGCCAAGATGAGTCTTTAACAATCTTACTTATCTTTATCTTTAGTCAGCTCCCTCTCCTGTTCCTTTTGCAAACTTTGCCACACTCCTAAGCCTTCTAATCAATCTTCATTAGTTGCTTTCTAAATTTACTATACCTTCTTTCATAACAAAAAAAAGCCCTACCTCAAGGAATTGTGCCATCATCTTTTCTCCTTCCATATAGTCTCAGGAGAGAACAATATCTTTCCTTGAAAATCTCATCTTTCCCTTTCACCTACCACCCAATATATCCTGACAAACCTCTCACTTGTTATGCCTCCTCTTCTATTTCTTTACTTCTGTACTCATCACTTCACTAAAATTGTTCTGACAAGTCACCAATGCCTTCCACAATGCAAAAGCTGACAGATTCTTTTCCCCCCCTGAATTCACTATAGCATTTGGCATGGAACACATTCTTCCCTTTGGGAGGTCATTTCTCCCTTAGCTTCTGTGATACCCTTTTTTCTCTTGATTCTCAAGTCTGACAATCATGTGCTCTTCTCTCCCTGCCCACTTCTTTTGATAGTTTGTGGTTTCTATAGGGTTACTACCTCTCACTTTCCATACTCTCCATGTGTGATATTCATTATCCATGACTTCAACTACTATGTATATGCGAACAATCCTTAAAACAATCTTTTTCACTTTTTGGTGGCTTTTTGACTGCACAACTCTGAAAATCTACCAAAAATCATTGAGTTGTACACTTTAAATATTTTCAGCCCAGATCCTCACCTGAAACCTAGACATACATTTGCCTATCAGCCAACTTCACTCAGATTTTGCTTGGATACTTCAAAAACATTAATGAATAATCTCGTTTTACAGTCCAAAGCTACTATGTCCCCCAAGGTTCCATTCTTGGCCTTCTTAAAAAAAATCATTCACTCTCTTATGGAGATTCTCCTGCCATGTCTTCATCTACTCTTATGACTTCAATTACTATGTGTAAGCTTACAAATCCAAATTTTTTTTTTAATTTGGGAATTAGGGGAGGGAAACAGTGTTGGGAAATTGGGGTAGGGGAACAGCCAAGTTGTTGTTCTTCAATCTTTGTTGTGGGGGGCGTCAGTCGCCATCTGGCTGCCCGTCAGCAGCTCTGGCCTCGAAGCTCAAGGTGCTGTGTTACAATCTTAGTTGCAGGTGGGCGTAGCCACCATCCCGAATGAGGGAGTTGAACCAGTAGCTTTGTTGTTAAGAGCACACGCTCTATCCACTGAGCCATCCAGGCAGCAGCTCAGCTCAAGGTGCCGAGTTCAGTCTTAGTTGCAGGTGGGCGTAGCCAACATCCCATGCGGGAGTCCAACCAGCAGTCTTGTTGTTAAGAGCGCATGCTCTATCCACTGAGCCATCCGGGTGGCAGCTTAGCTCAAGGTGCCGAGTTCAGTCTTAGTTGCAGGCAGGCGTAGCCCACCATCAAACAGGCAATCTTGTTGTTAGGAGCACGTGCTCTCACCAGCTGAGCCATTCTGCCACCTGTTGGCAGCTCAGCTCAGGCGCAGCGTCACTGGCCCATGTGGGAATCAAACCGGCGGCTCTGTTGCTCAGAGCTTGTGCTCTTAAGCCAACTCTTAACCAACTGAGTCATTTGGCCATCCAACAAATCCAACGACTCATCTCTAGCTAAGCTCTCGCTCCTGAACAAGAGCACTCCCATCCCTGCCCTTCCTACTGGAAAGCATGCCTGTCTCCTTTTTCTTCATCTCAAACTTCAGTCTTCAATCCAGACATTTTCAATGTATTAAGCAGACTTCAAACCTAATCTCTCCTCTCCTCAATTGTTCAGAACCACTTGAGGACTGACGTGGACTGCTAAAATGGTATCCTTAAAAAGTTGTTGCCTAAAGTTTCATGGCTGCCCATAGTATAGAAAGCTATAAATGAAAAAATAACACTGTTTTAAAGGGTTCATAGTTTGACCTAAGACTATTCTTTATTATAATGCAATACATTTAACTTCTTTGAAAATGTATGTTTTCACTACTTATGTGACATATATATACTGATATGTATATTATATGTATACCAGCTAGTAAACTACATGTATATTACTTATATATGTATATAATTCACTACTTATACAAGTAAAATAAGCATTATATTACACATTTATGATATGTCTGTACATTCTAGGCAGTTTTCTTGAGATCTCCATATCTTTCTACACCATTTTTATTCTCAACTCCCTTTGGTCTCAGTTAAGAAATGGTAAACAGTCACCATGAACAAACCACAAAAAAATCAAAATATGAACAATTTGAAGCTAGGTAAGTTAAAATTCAAATAAGAATATGTCTAGAACCACAAAAAAAAAATTTTCTTAAGCTGTTTTAATAAGATTAGTGGATGTAATAAAAATCGTACATAAAAATTGCCCCGAAATAACAATTAATAAATAGTATACCAGTTTCCAACACCATTCAACTGAGCTTTACAAGTGAATGATATGCCCTATCAGATGCGTGAAAACTCACATACTCTGTAAGGCTATGGATAAACAGAAACTTCTGTTTATTATCTGTTGGAGTGAAAAATTGGCACAGCTCCTACAGAATGCTATTTGGCTTATTGAATTATGACACAGAAATCCAACTTCTAGAGATTCTCCTTCAGAAATTATTGCACACATAGGTAATGGTGGTTGTACAAGGTTATTGCTGCACTGTTTGTAAGATCAAAATGTCTTAGATGCAGGTGGGCATAGCCACCATCCCATGCAGGAGTCCAACCAGCAGTCTTGTTGTTAAGAGCGCATGCTCTATCCACTGAGTCTTAAATGTTCATTAGTAAAGAGTTAAAGTGTTCATATTTTTTATTTTTAAACCAAATATATTAGGTATTCATGTAATTTTTTTTAAAAGTGAGCAACATAGGTCAAATCCCTAACTATATGTGTACTTTAAGGGTGGGTGGGTGGGTATGGTAGTGGTATATATTTCAAGGTCAAGCACAGGCTCTATCTACCTTTGCTGAATACTATAATCAATAAAACAAAAACCTACAAGTCAATGCCATAGTAAATTACAAAAGAAAAAAAAAATTGAGCAAAAGTAATCAAAGGTGAAAACTACTTACTGGGATTCTGTCCTCTTCTCGTCGTCTTCGACCTCTGAAAAGAGTTCTCCTTTTAACAACGACAAACAAAAGGGGGTGGTGGGAGGGACAACTCATAAGTTTCTTCAAATTTATACATTCTATCAAAGATGGGTGAATTTCTATCTTAAGTATCTACACTTTCTAAATCTCCATTATTGTTAAAAAAATAAATATATATTCTTTTGAAGGGATCCTGAGATAATCTACCAAAAACTTCAATTACCACCACCACCATCACCATCACTATCACCACCATGTAAGTTGGGCACATTTTCATTAGAAGTGTTCTCTCCACACCAGAAGCATATTAGGGTTCAGTTTTTTGTTTTGTTTAGGCAGGGTAGGCAACACATAACCCCAATCCCATAGTTTAGAAGTTGTAAGAAATTAAAACTATAATGCAAATGGGATTTTATCTCTCTAAGCCATTCTTTCCTCAGTGAACTACAAAGAACTTCAGAATAACTTTCATAAACCTCTGACTTACAGCTATATCTATATGGACCCTCTTAAATTACTTAATTATGAAAAACTATTAACCTATATTAGGTAACACTGTATTGATTTAGCATACACCAATAATTAAGTCTAAAAAAACCACATTAGATTGTGGCTTTCAAATATTCACATTATGATCAAAGAATTTTCATATATCTTATTTCTCTATTTATTATCGTATTTCCTTACCTGCCCCTACCATAGTCCCCATTCTGTTCAATCTGCAAAGTGGGAGTCTCCTTTGGCAGGTAGCTCTGCTCCTGATGCACTGTTACTGCAGGGTTATGCCGTTCAGTTGGTAAGTTCCTTGAACCAGATCTGTTTAATGGTCCATCCCCCAATGACACAGAGACCTCTGTTGAGTGTTCTGAACCACCTGATGACCTAAAATGAGGCTTCACACTATAAGAAATATAAGATTATATACATAAAAGGATAAATCAAGACAGGCAAGAAATCTTTCCTCTTAATGGTATAAAACTCTTAATAGGTCAAGTTAAAAATTGCTCCGTCATATCATGATTTTCCATTAACTAAATTAAACATAAAATTGTCAGGTAAACCCTTTTGTATCCCAGATATATTATTTTTAAAAGGCAAAGAATTTTTACATTAAAAAGTTATTTGGAGTGATTTGGGGGAAGATCCAAAGTTCTTCAAGATAAAACTACTTCTACATCAATATTCAGAATATAACTAGGATTTTAGCTATTTTCTTTCCCACGAACTGCAGACTTGACACATCTGAATCAGTCAGGCTTTAAACTTACTAACAATTCCATGCCATGCTTTCTCAATTGGGCAACATCACCCCCAAACAGAGTAAAAATTGGTTCTTTGGGGGAGAGGGGAATCTTATTCTTACTCATTTCATGTATAAAGCACAGATATACATACATTACATGAATAGATATACTATAATCTCTAGTGTGAAATTCTCATAGGGGGAAATTAGAAAAAGAAACGTCTAAAAAGGCTCTTTGAGGCAGTGACAATGAAAAAAAGAGTGAGAAATGGAGCATCCCTTGCCAAATAAAATTTGTTGTTCAAAGATCCATATGTGGGACAAAAATACTAGGAAAATACAATGCAACTAATAGTCTGCCATGACTTCATGAATTAAGGCATGGAATCTGGTAAAAAGAAAAATAACTACTTCTAACAAAAGTAGCTTTTATCTTGGATGATGTGTATAAGCATCCAACTCTAACAATTTGTAAGCAGATGAAGCCAGGGTAGGGTAAAGGAGGATGCAGTTTAATCAACAGTGAAAACATCTCAAGTAAGTCCAGGCAACTGAGGCTCTTGGCTCTACAGCAGAGTAAACAAGGAAGTATGAGATTTATATTTGGCCCCTTGTTTGCCGTTTATACAGTCCACTTTTACAGTCTATTTTCATCATTACAAATTCATAATATTAATAACACATTGTCAATTCCTGGTTCTCTAAATACGGATTTAAAACCTTATAATTATAAGCCCAACAATTAAACATTAATTCCAACAGCATCTCCAGCTATCCTAATTTACTCTTTACAGAAGATAAAAACTTAGGTTACTATTATTAAAACTTGAAGATAAAACTCAGGATACAAAGTTGAGCGGAGTTTATTTAATATGACACTTCTCCAGTTAATTACTTTGTCACAAAATAAAATTTTTCATAACAATGAAAATTACAGTACATCAACTAACACAAAGTAATTTTCAAAATATTTATATTATCCATTACAACTGAAAAATGAACTCATTAAGTAGATATGCTGTTTACATGATCTATTCAGGAATTTTCACCTAAATTTTCTCATTGTATTTCAATATACCTAATGGACAAGTTGTTAGGTTTAAACAGCCCTCAGATCTCATAATCTTACCCTTCACTGAGAGGGACTTACAATCTCAGTCTGGGCAAAAGAAAGAAATAAGTGATAAAAGATAGAAAGGAAGAAGTAAAGTGACAGAAAGATAAAGTATGAAAGGTAGAAAAATGCCCAGACTTCTGAAAGTTAGTCCTATTCTCTCCAAGTAGGTCTAGTGATCATCACTGGGCTGTTATAAGGTTAAATTGTTAGAAGGTTAATATAATAAACTGTCAAAGGTTAGTATAATAAACTGTCAAACTTGCTCCCTGATAAGTAAAAAGAAAGGTCTGGCAGTGATCACTTCTTAAGGAGGCAACATGGATTTGGGTTGGGGGTCAATAAGCTTTTTAGTTTCATCTGTAACATTTGTATTTTTATAAGAAAGTATTCACGTACTATTTCTGTAACTAAAAATTAAAAACCTATATTGATTAAACATGAAAAAGAATAGTATACACATGGTTTTGAATAACAAGAAAAATTATAATAAACCCGTCCTGTATCTTCAAAACCATATGTGCACCTCCATAAAAGCCAGAATGACTTGACTGTCATTCTTGGCTTTCTTATTGTAATCTCACCCCCTTCACCAAGAAAGCACAGCAAAGACAAGTGACAATAAAGGAACACCATGAACACACTGTATTTTTAAGTCAAGCACCTGCAAACATCAGTATTTTTAGTTATTAGTTAAAAATTGCTTTTACTCTACCTCATAACAAAGATGTTTATTCTACTTAACTGTTTAAGCAAATTTCACCCCTTTAAAGAAATGTGAAATCAATAGATACTTATTTTTATAGAGCTACTATTTCTAATCATGAGAAATCTGTATCTCCAAACAAGGAAAACTAAATTGTTATTTGCGCTGAATTATTTTTTTTAAGAAACTTTACCAGCTATGGTAGAAGAAATGTTCTAAATGTCAGGTCTGTTAATAACCAGCAATATAACCCTAGCAAGATATTTGTCCTATTCAACTTTCACTTTCTTCATCTATAAAATGAGTTAAAACTATATGGTAACAATCTGGTCTTTCCAGATTTAAACATCCTTGTCTCTAATGAAATAATCTTTTTGAACATCAGAATTGAGTTAGAGGACCCCGTGTGTAATTAAGGCTCACTGTACTTTTTTCTCCCCACAATACTTGAATCTTGCAGTAAATTGTTAGTGTATTACCAAACTAAGAGTCATTGATAAGAGCACACATAATCTTTTCTTTATAAAAAACCTTTAATTCTTACAATATAAAGAGATCTCATTTGAAACTTCATAAAGCATAAAAATTTTATCTGTAGTAAAATTTTCCTAACACTTAAAAATGATCTTTAAATGTTTTAACCAATTGTGTCAGTTAAAGTTGAGTACAAAAATTGTGACTATTAGAGGATAGTACATATAAATGCTTCCAGAATCCACTGAGAAGAATATTTTTTAATACTGTAAGGCTTCTTTCTCCAGTGAGGCATGTTTTAGAAAAACCTTACAAAAAGAATTAAGTTCCTATAAGTCATCTTAGAAAAACATACCCTATTATGTGGTCTCCTTGCCAAAAAGAATCAACTGGAAGAACAAGATCCGGCAAGAGAAAAGTCACTGAAGAGAAATAATTTTATAAAACCAAAAATAAAACCCAGAAGGCTCACAAAATAAGCAAACAAAAAATAACAAATGTGAAACTATTAAATAAATCTAAACCATTATGCAAGCCCTTTTTTCTTTGGTTACTCATACTCTGTCAAAAGCCATAATCTATACCAAATTATTGTAATTATCAGTTGTTTATGTACAGAATAATACTTAAGAGACATATCGATATTTTACATGACAGCAAAAGTTTCCAGAGTTCTCAATAGTTTGTTCAGAACATCATGTTTTAAGTGTAGGCTTTGGAGTCAAACTGCATGGGCTCAAACATTGGCTCTGCGAGGGACTAGCTACGTGCCTGTAGATATGATATTTAACCTTGAATGTCTTATTTTTTCATTTTAAAATAGATATAGTAACTATCTTACAGGGTTATGAAAATTAACTGTGATAAACATGTAAAACCTATAAAACAGAGCTTTAAATATTAAATGCCCAACAATTGTTAGCTATTGTCTGTTTTTACATTATAGTTTATGGAAATCATTTCAAAAATTCAATTCTTAAAAGTCATAAATAATTTATATTCCCAGCATTTATCACTCAATTCAGTTGACATTTCTATCCTCAAAAAACTCATTCTCCAAAATGCTAACTATTTAACACACTAAATGGCATTTAGACACCAGATTTTTATGTTACTATCATGAAATATTTTTCCTATCCGCTTCATTAAAAAAATATATATGTATTGTATATAATCTCAGTCCTTTTTATACCCATTATCAACTCTAATGTCAAAGTGTGTTTATGAAATCTAGATTAAATCATTCACATACTATTTGTAAAAAAAAAAAGAAGAAACAACCCTTTTTAATGAGTCTGTAAATAAGCATTCCTATGCATACAGTAACTCTATTGGGAATTGTTTACAATGAATTCCAGCCATGATTTTTATCTTACCGACTTTTTTGGAATGGTCGACCCATATTCACAGCAGCAACATTTGTTTTATAAGATCCTGGTGAATTAAAGCCATTCACAAAACTACCATTGGGAAAAGGAGCCTAAAAGAAAATTTTAATGTTTAAAAACGATTAATGGTAAAGGCAAAAATCTGGTGTTAAGGTCATAAGAAATTTCTGATCACTTAACCTAGCAACAATTTCTTTTACAAGCCAAAAATAATTTGTTACTTATTCACACTTTGGCAATGCTTACTTCAAGTATCACTTGATTTACAGAACAAGAAATCACTAGTTCTTACTTGATAAAGGACACTTTTCTCTGAAAAAGTTTCACAAAACTAAAAGCAATTAAAATCATTAAGGATTTATCCAGTCTCTAACTTTAATTCACTCAGCAAAATCTAAGCAATAAATTACAGGAACCAGTAGCTCAAGGCTTAGTCATATGCATACATTTGCTTATCACTAATTAAAAGCATGTAACCAATATCAACACGTTAAAAAAAAAATGAACTCCTCCTACTCTGACTTCTTCACATTTCAGCTTGAGTGAAAATGTTTATTATTTAAAAGAATCTCACTTACCAGTGGTGTTTCAAAGTAAGGTGCAGGATTTGGAGACCAAGACTGAGGCACAATACTATAGACTGAGTACTGTTGATGAGGATTATATACAGGCTGCATAAAGACTGGTGAGGCATACTGTGCTTGAGTTTGAATGGGCTGACTATACATACTAGAGTCCATTAATCGATAACCATTCTTAGCAAAAAATGTATTGATGGCTTTTATCCTTGCCTAGAAGCAAGAGGAATACATTATAATAACGAAATACTAAGTGTATGTATTTTTAAAAATACATTTAATTTAAATTTTTAACATATTTTACATGACTACATTATTTCTGCCTATTATAGAATCAGTAGAGCAAAAGAAAAGGAAAGGATAGCTTTGATTAAAGAAACTTTTGCATGGCAAATATCACTAAAAACAAACTAAAACCACAAAAATCAAAACAGTAAAACTAACTGCAACTTATCACAGACAAGGGGGCTAATATTCCTAATAAATTCTAAAAAGACATTAAAAAGCCCAACAATCCTATATGAAAATGAGTTAGAGAAATGCACAGAGTTCACAGAATACAAAAGGCAAATGGCTCTTAAACATATGAAAAGATGCTACACCTTGCTCATAAGAGAAATACAGTTTCAAATGAATTAAAATTTCTCATTTATAAGATTGGCAAAAGTCCCAAAAAATGACAACATGTTCTGTTGATAAGACTGCCAAAACAGGCATCCTGATATACTATACTGATAGGCAAGCAAAAAAATTTAGCAGTATCTTCCAAAATACAAATGCATTTACCATATTCTCATCAATCCCAGTTCTAGAAATCTTACCAAAAGATATACTGACCAAATTTTTCTTTTTTTAAAGGATGCACAGAGCTACTTACTGACACTAATTGTAATTGGGGGGGGGGGAGAGCTCCCCAACACCCCCCACTCCCAACAGTCCATTAATGGTTGAATATACACCATAGTATATGCACACAGCTGAGTAACACACAGATGTAAAAACAACTGAGGAACTGCTCTAAATACTATTATGGAGTGATTTCCACAATATACAGAATATTTTTAAAAAAGAGGCGAGGCAAGAAGAAGAGTTTGTATTATATATTATTCTTTAGCTAAGTGAGATGGGGATATGAATATACTTGCATGCACACACATATATGTGTGAATACATATTTAATATACTGTTTTAGATATTTTACTTTTAAATCATATTGAATATAAAATTTTTAAAAACTACTTTGTAGAAGTTAAAAGGAAAATGAACCTAAATGTGCATCCAATTAATAATATAACAGAGAAATTCTAAGTGAATTTGAACCATGATAAAATCAACTGTTATGAATGTTCCTTAGGAATAAACCACAAGGCAAAGTATGAAAAATTTCTTAATTTATTTACAAAATTATATTGCTATTGGTATTGTTATTCTGATACTTTTGTATGTGATTATGGGATACATCAAATCAGTAATTATATTGGGGTCACCGAGATCTGAGAGTTTTCACATGGGAGAAAGGCAACACAAATGTGAAAACTGAAGAAGCAAAAACCATTATCGCCTGAATTTAAACTGGAAGCACAATGTAAATTCATGACATAGTTTGTCTTTAAAAAACAAAGCGAAACACCTATTTCATAGCTCTGTCCAATAAAAAGGCTTAGAAACAATGACCAAACCAGTCATCACAAGCACCCCTTGTGCCTAGTCAATGGACTACAAAGGATCATTTTCCCATAAAAGTATCATGGGGGCTTTGGAGAGGTGGCTGACCCCAGGCTTTTGACATAAAGCGTACAAAAAGCCTGGATGGACCATCTTATCACACTAGAGAGCAAGCAAACGACTGAAAATTATTAGAGCCATGACAAAAGGACACATGAGTTAACTCGAAAAGGCCACACTCCATCAATAAACAGGGATAATAAACACACCAAATTATGTTTAAATACAAACAACAACAACAACAACAACAAAACACCCAACATCTGAACGGTCATTTTGAAAGTTGCTAAGGAATCAACACATTGTTTTTGAAAACTGTTAAAAGCTAGAACCAATTTATCATGCATTTCATCTATGAGCTGTACATCAGGGTAATGAAAATGAGGGCAAGCTTCTCTTTGTAGAAGTATTCAACTAATAAGTGGAAGAAAGATAGCATAGAAATAGTACCACTTTGTAACCCTTAACGAATTAATAGATCTACTCAATGATCAGTAGCAGCTAGCATAAAAGAGAGACACAAAGACATATTTTATATGCTTTTGTTCTCTCTTCCCACGGCTCTGAAATTAAATTCAATTCTTTTCAAGCCTCTACACCTAGCTACCAATTTGCATGAAATACGGGGGACAGAGGATTATGTTAAACTACACTGAAGAATATAACTAGCCAATTCAAAGATGGGCAAAGGACTTAAATAGACATTTCTCCAAAGAGGATATACGAATGGCCAACAAGCACAAGAAAAGATGCTCAACATCACTAATCATTAAGGAAATGTAAATCAAAACTAATGAGATTCCATCAAATGCATTCTTCATTTCAGTTATTGCATTCTTTGTTTCTGACTGGTTCTTTGTTTTTATCCCCGTTAAGTGGCTCATGATTGTATTCGCATACATAAACAAAAAGTTAAACAATGGAAAAATAACAGGCTAGGCTCTAGGGGTAGGTACTGCCACTGAATCAATACTTAAGGAGAAAAAAGTGCTTGGACACTCATGACAACCAGGGGAGTGCTTAACAAAGGGAAGGCTGCTCATCTTTCCTAAGTGAGAAAGAAAGTAGCTACTGTTCCCATTCCTCAGCGGCCTACATTCCAGGAGTGGCTGGCTGGTGGCAAGGCAGGTAGTGAGGACTTTGTCCTTGAAAAATCTGAGGTGTGTTGTGGTTGGTGTGGTGGATCCCTGAAGGATCAGTGCTGATGTTTGCCTCAATTTTGGTCCTCAATGCAGCAGCAGATTCCTCTGGTGACATCTATCAGAAGACTTAAAGGGACAGAAACCTTCACCACCATCAATGCCCTATTTGGAGCCAGACAATTATGGTCTTTGTCAGGTCACTGGCTGACGGCAGAGATAACGGAACATAAATTTCAGTGACCACAAACAACAAGGAATACACACTTTGCAAAAACAGCTTAGAAAAGTCACAGACAGCTACAGCCCTCAACAAGTGAAAGTATCAGTAATATCTGCGCAATGGGAGATTCAGGTTTCCTGAGTTAACACTTTATAATACTCAGAATGTTCAGTTCTCAACACAAATATTAAAAAACATACAAAGAAACAGGAAACTATGGTCCATTTGTGGGGAAAAAAAGAATTTGATAAAAACCATACTGAAGAAGCCCACACACTGGAATTACTGGTCAAAGATGTTAAATCAACTCTCTTAAATGTGCCCAATGACCTAATGGAAACTATGGACAAACCTAAGAGTAATCAGGAAAATGATGTATGAATAAAATGCTAAAAAAAAAATCAAAAAAAAAATCAGTGTACCTACCCTGATACAAGAAATGCTAATGGGAGTTCTTCAGGGTGAAATTAAAAGATGCCAGATGGTAACTCAAAGTCAAAAGAAGAAAAAACAACTACTTAGGTAAATACAAAAGAAAATTATTGTACTTTTGGCATATAACTTTTCCTCACCTGATTTAAAAGGGAAATTAAAACAATATAAATTGATGCCAATGGGCACAAATGTATAAAGATGGAATCTGTGACAATACAAATATAAAGGGGGAAGGACAAAGAAGTATAGGATTGAATATTTGTACACTACTCAATTGAGGTTGTTATAAATGTAAGATGTTAACTGTAACTCACCAGAGAACCATTTAAAAAAGAAAAAACAAAACAAAAAAAACCAAACCTAAATGGCAGAAGTATCTTTCTTTATCAACAATTACTTTAAATGTAAATGGCTTAAACTTTCCTATTAAAAGGCAGAGAGTGGCAGAATGAATTAAAAATGTACAGGGTCCATCTAATATGCTATCTGTAAGAGACTCATTTTAGATTCAAAGACATTGAAAGTAACAAAATGCAAGAAAACAATAATCAAAATACAGCTAAGATGGCTATATTATTATTAGGCAAAATAGACTTTAAGTCAAAAAAGGTTACAAGAGACAAAAGACATTTTATGTTACTAAAAAGTTAAATCCAGCAAAGGGATAAAACAAATGTAAACATATAAGCACCTACCAACAGAACAGCAACATGTACAAAGAAAACAATGATAGAATTGGAAGGAGAAATAGTTCTACAACTGACTTCATTAACCCACTTTCAATAATGAATGAGACAAAAGAGCAATAAAGAAATAGAGAACTTGAACAACACTATAAACCAATTTGACCTAAAAGAACTACTTCAAACACTAGAATACATTTTTCTTTCAAGAATACACAGAACATTACCCATGATAGACTATTTGATTTTTAATAAATTTAAAAAGACTGAAATCACACAAAGTATCTTCAGTGACCACAATGGAACGAGACTAGCAATCAGTAACAGAAGGAAAACTGGAAAATTCACAAATATATGGATATTAACTCAGGTTCTTAACCAATGGGTCTAAGAAGAAATCACAAGGAAATTATAAAATAACTTGATTCCAGACAACGAAAAGTTAAAGTAGTTCATCAACACTAAACCAGTCTTACAAGAAATGTTAAAGGGACTTCTTTAAGTAGAAAAAATTTAAAAATATGAATAAAAAAAACAGGCAAGGAAAAAAATCTGACAAAGGCAAACAGTAAAAGCAGTGGATCAACCATTTATAAAGCTAGTAGTACAAAGGTCAAAGGACAAAAGTAGGAAGATCATGTGTAATTCCAACAATAAATTAAGGGATACACACAAACATACACACACAAAAGAAGTAAAAAATAATGACAAAAACATAAATGTGGAGGGGATGAGTTAAAATTGTAGCGATTTTAGAATGTGTTCAAACTTAAGCAACCATCAACTTAAAATAGACTGCTATAAACATAACTTGGTATATATGAAGCACATGTTAACCACAAACCAAAAGTCTGTAAGAGATATACAAGAAATAAAGAGAAGGAATCTAAACATAACACTGTTAGAAAGTCATCAACATACCAGAAAGCAAGAGCATAAGAAACAGCGAAGATCTACAAAAACAATTAAAAAACAATAAAATGGCAATAACTACATAGCTATCAATAACGACTTTAAATATAAATAGACAAAATACTCCAATCAAAAGACACGGGGTGGTAGAATGGATTAAAAAAAAAAAGACTTGTACATGCTAACAAGAGATCCACTACAGATTGAAAAACACATAGATTAATGGGACGGAAAAAAATATTTCATGCAAAAGGAAAAAAGAAAAGCTGGGGTAGCAAAACATAGATTAGACAAAACAGGCTTTAAAACAAAGCCTATAACAAAAGACAAAGGGCATTTCGTAATGATAAAGGGATCAATCCAACAAAAGGATATAACTCTTGTAAACATCTACACACACAACACAGGAACACAAATACATACAGTGAATTTTGACAGACATAAAGGGAGAGATCGATAACAACATAATAGCAGTAGGTGACTTAAACACCCCACTGACATCAGTGGATCATCCAGACAAAAAATCAACAAGGAAACAGTGGCCTTAATGGACACATTAGGTCAGATGGACTTGATATTTTTAGGACATTTCACCCAACAGCAGAATATACATCTTTCTCAAGTGCTCATAGAACTTTTTACATGTTAGATCACATGTTAGGCCACAAAACAAGTCTCAATAAATTTATGAAGACTGAAATCATATCAAGCATCTCCTTTGATCACAATGGTATAAAACTAGAAATCAATTACAAGAAGAAAACTGAAAAACACACAAACACGTGGATGCTAAATAACATGCTTCTAAACAATGAGTGCGTTAACTATGAGATCAAGGTGGAAATTGAAAGAAACCTTGAGAGAAATGAAAATGAAAACACAATGACTCCAAATCTATGGGACACAGCCAAAGCAGTTCTAAGGAGGAAATTCATAGCAATACAGGCCCACCCCAACAAATAAAAATCTCAAATAAACAACCAAACCTTACACCTAAAGGAACTAGAAAAAGAAGAACAATAACAAAAAGCCCAAAGTGAGTAGAAGGAAAGAAATAATAAAGATCAGAGGAAAAAGAGATGAAACAGAGACTGAGAGTGAGAGAGAGAGAGAGAAAAGGAAACTGAAACCAAGAGTTGGTTCTTTGAAAAGATGAACAAAACTGATAAACCGCAAGCCAGACTCATCAAGTAAAAAACAGAGTGCCCAGGGCCGGCCGAGTGGCGCGATGGTTAAGAACTGGCTTGGGATGCCAGAGGGCCCCAGTTCGGATCCCACATGTGAGGGCCAGTGACACTGCCCTCCACAGCTAAGATGCTGAACAACAGCTCAACCTGGAGCTGGGCTGCCATGGGTCACTGGCGATGGCGTAGGCTCTGTGGCAGTGGGTTGCCATGGGCTACCGTGTAGCCAGCAGCCAGCATGAGCGGCCAGCAGCCGCAGTGAGCGGCTGTCCAGAAGCCAGCGACTGATCTGCCTCGCCCAGGAAGAGCGCAATGATGGTGCCAATTTGCGCCAGTGAAGCAACGTCCTCTACAACTAGACTGAAGAACAAAACGACAGCAACTTGTCTGTTCCCCTTCCCCCAATTCCCCAATAAAATCTTAAAAAAAAAACCCAAAAAACAACTTAATGAAAGCATTAAAAATGATGTTCACTGTAATATTATTATTTGTAAACAAAGAAACAATGTACATGGAGAGAAACAAATAATTAAATCATGCACATGAACAATGTTATATGTATACTTGGAATAATGGTAAATAAAAAAAATCTTGAAGCTCTATTAAGTGAAAGGAGATTAGTGTCTAATGTACATATCCATTTAGGTAAAGACAGAAAATTCCCAGATGGACACAGAAAAAAACTGCTCTCTCATCAACTCTGGGGAGAAGGACTGAAGGAATCTGGTAGAGAGATTTAATTATTTATTTATTTAGTATTGTTTGACTTTAACATGTGCAGGTATAACTTCCACACTTAAAATTCTGAAATAGTAAATATACAGAGAAATACTTATTCTACATGACATGTACCATCTACATGAAACCCAGTTAAAACTTAGTATTCCTAGTTATAAATAACCAACTGAAACAGGATGAAGCACTGCCTCTTAATGAAATTAGCAACACATGAAGAAACAGGTGAACAAATATTATTCACTTAATCTTTTTGTCCTCCAAGATCACTGCTTTTACCTCACAGAACTTCAGAAATGAAAAGCACAAACACTTCAAAGAAATAAACCAAGACCTTAGAGGTAACTTGACACTCCCAAGATCAAAGATCTTGAGGCTGAAGGCAGCCTCAAGATCTGTAATATAGGATTTCTGGCTCCTGAACCTGTCTTGCTGGGTGCTAGGTCATTGGGTTTTAACAAATAATATAAAAATTAATGCAAATCTGTAAATCCCCTAGCAAGGACATTGCTATGTGATAGCTAATCAAAAGAACCATAAACAAAAACAGCAAGGAAAAATACTTATGTATCTATTTACACATGCTTTACCACTATACCTGAAATCTCAGCAAAATCAATAAGCTATAAGAAATGGGAAGTATAGGGGCCAGCCGAGTGGCGCATTGGTTAAGTGTTGGCTTGGGACGCCAACTCTGAGCAGCAGGGCCCATGTTCGGATCCCACATGAGAATCAGTGACACCGCACTCTCTACAGCTAAGATGGTGAACAACAGCTCGGCCCGGAGCTGGGCTGCCGAGAGTCGCCAGCAACAGCGTAGGCTGCAGTGGACTGCGGTAAGCTACCGTGAGTGGCTGGCAGCCGTCGTGAGCTACCAAGAGGTGCTGTGAGCGGCCGTCTACTGGCCAGCGACCGATCTGCCTCACCCAGGAAGAGTGCAATGATAATACCAACATGGGCCAGTGAAGCAATGTCCTCTACAACTAGACTGAAGAACAAAAAAGCTTGTCTGTTCCCCCTCTCCAATTCCCCAATAAAATCTTAAAAAAAAAAAAGGGAAGTATGAGGAATTACCAAAATAGTAATTATTTGTAGCTGGTATGATCTCTCAGGCAGATAATAGAAAGACCCAACAAACCATCAGATATAACAAAGGAGCTAGGCAAGGTTGTTGCATACAGTAACACTAAGATACCAAGGAGGGGGGAAAAGCAACAAAAATTACTTTAAAGAAGTAATTATAAAACACAACAGACCTGCATTAATAGACAAATATATCATAAAAACATTACCACAATATTGAATAATGTAGGGTAAAACTGTCAATTGCCCCCAATGTAAGCAATAAATTAAATGCAATCCCATTCATTTGTTCCAATACATGGTTTTTGTTTGGTTGTTGGTATTAGACATTCTAAAATTCATATGGAAAAGTAATGGTCTAAGAATAACCAAGACAGTCTTAAAAAATGAGGGAGAACTTGCATAAAAAGATAAGGATGTTATAAAACTATGGTAATTAAAACAGTGATGTTGGTTCAGTAGAGGTTGATAGAATAGAGAACCCAAACCAGACCTGATAGATGCAACATTACAGTTTGTGGAAGGGAAGACCACTCAACAAGTAAGTGTTGAGACAACTACCTTTCTACATAAGGGGGAAAAATGAAATTAGATCCCTATCTCATACTTTACATTAAATTAATTCCAGATGTTTCAAAGACCTAAATCCAACATATAAAATCCTTAAAGCTATTAAAAGACCTAGGAGAGTATTTTTATAGCCTCAAGCAGGGAAAGGAGATAATAGGAAGAGCATTACAGGGACAGGAAATAAAATGACAACTGGCAGATAGTGTCATATGTAATATAGAAATACCACCACCTACCACACAGCTATAATGAGATTTAAATATGAGTTCTTAGAACACTGTCTGACATATAACCTTTAATAAATGTAAGCTTCTCTCATCCTGGATCTTCCACTTACTACAATAGTTATGTGAAACTGGGTAGGTGACTCTCATGCCTTACTTTCCTTAACAGTAAAATAGAGAAAATAGAAGTACCTACCTTATTAGTTTCTTTTAAGAATTAAATGACTCTATACATATAAAGTGCATAGAACAGCAACTGATATACAGTTAGAGCTCAATAAGAGTTAGTGAGAATAATGCATGCATTTACAAATAATAATTATTATATTACATCCAGAATGAGGAGCATGTTAAAGTAAGTATATGTTTAGGATTCTACTTTAAATAGTAGCTCTGGTAGGGATGTGGAGAACAGATTAAGGGGTTAAAAGTTATGAAGCCTAACAGCTAAAAGGCTACTCTAATTTTTTCAAGCCTAAACAATGGTAATAATGAGTAAAAGAAGTTTTGAAGGCAGATTTCATGGGATCTGAGGAAAGATTAGACAAGTAAAGACAGAGAGCAAGTGTCATCAATGACAATTCCCAGGTTTCCCAAATGGTTGAATGCTAATGTGATGATGCCGTGAATTGAGATGAGGTTCAAAGTACGGCAAATGTTTTCCACCTTGTTACTAAAAAATTATCCCTGCTCTTCATTTTGAGATCTGGAATTATCTTACATGTTGTTAATCAGCATGTAACTAAAACTTCATGCTGTTTGAAGTTTTGCCTTCGGAAAAAAACTGCTGCATAAAAAGTATTCTGATGTTCCATCAACTAATTTTCTGAAGCAGCACATCATATGAGACAGAAATTTCTTTAAAATCATTACAGGTTTTATAAAATATTACCCATCTGTGCTTTTTAAATTCTCAAACAAACAACAAATAACTTTGTTTCATGCTGGCCTTACTTACAAATGTTTCTTACCATGATTGGCTTGCCCTGAAATGTTTTAACTTCTTCTCTCAAGTATTTAAAAGCCTATGAACAAAGCAGAAAGGAATTTTCATTAGCATTCAAACATTTCATTAAAGCCATCTTTATTCTATCAAGAGAGTTTGGCATTAGCAACTATCTCTAAACTAAACAATAAAAAACTCTGAAGGTGATTCCATTATGCAGGGGATAAGAAATGAAAAAAAAAAAGTAAAAATTTAATACCTCAGCTACAGTTCACGTTTACTACAGATTACCTACTATGGATTACTGAAGATAAAACACACAAAATTCAAAACAAAATCAAAATGTCCCTACATGTCAATTTAAAATGGTTCAGACAGCTTTCCAAGGTGAAGCATTAAAAAAAAACCAAAAAAAACCCCAAAAACTGAGTGGTTTTAAAATGCTATTAGATATGTTTTTGTTTCAAAGGAACATTACTTATCTTTAAGTAGCACATGATAAAAATCAAAAGTAATATCATTGTATCAAAATTCCAAATCAGAAAGAAAGTTGTATATTGCGGGCCTAATATGTACCAGAAATATTAACTACTAAATACATGATTCCCAATCCCCACGTTAATTTTAAAGCTGTGTTAACTTATTTTATTGATAGAAAACAAATGTTCTTAACTTGAAACTGAAAAAGCTTCAGGAAGATGATCAAAACGGAAACCAATTAATAAGCAAAATCAAAAAGGTGAACAAGAATAAGCAAAACCAAAAAGGTGAACAAGGTGCTCAACAATCTATACAAACAGTACTGAAGGCACACTAATTTTCTCAATTAAAATATACCACTTCTTTTACCACCAGGGCTTGAAATCAGAAGTTTTTTCTCACCTCTTGTGCATCTGTGTCTGACTGGAAAGTGACATACCAGTTGCTATTGTGTGCAAACTCACAACTTATCACCTTGGGACAGTTTTCATTTTTGAACAAAGCTTTCACTTCCTGAAAAAGAAAAACCTTAGTTATTTAAAAAATATATCAATGATGGCGATTTTTTTCTCTTCATGTCATTTGGTCCTTTCTATTTCTTTACTTGTTAACTATTTATGCCTTCTGCCCATCTTTCTACTGAGAGTAGATGATGTTCTGAAACAAAACCATACAGTATAGTTATAGAATAAATTTTATATGTGATTTAACAATGGAATCTTATTTTATAATCAGCAAAGCTGAAGCATTTCACTCCTAGGGGCATTTTCCTTAGAATACAATCTCTCCAGTCTTGCCATTATCAAAAAAAAAAAGTATGTTTTCCATTAACATTTTCTAAATGCTATTTTCATGCATTCTTATTCAATCCAGATGCTTTGTCTACATCAGAATGATTCATAGACATGAACTCTTGTGCAAAAATGTCTTCCCTTTTCCATAATTGATGTAATTGAACTAAAATTCCAACAAATATATGGATTTAGAAAAAAGATGGTTACCCAAATTCAGAAATATTTAACAGTTAACAGCTTGAATGAAGTTTATAAAAAAAAAGAAAAAAACTGGAAGTGAACATTAAGAATCCCTAAAACATTACAGAAGGAAAGCAGACAATATCTGCTGAAATACCATCCAGGGTAAAATACTTCTTTACCCCTGAAAACAACCCTGTGTTGAAGATTTTATCATCTCCATTTTAGAGTTGAGGAAATGGTGGCTCAGACTGTTTAACCTACCCACACTACCACAAAGTGAACTCAAACTCAGATTTGTATTTCTCCAAACTCCATTTTGTTTAATACCTATTTGAGTTCAAGGAGAAATGTAGTTAGTAGTAACCAATATTTCCCAAATATCAAAAGAATCTGATTTGGTTAAACTGTCCCACAAAATATCACTAGGTATCAATTTTAAAAAAGACAATTATTAAGCTGATTGGACAATAAACATGACAACAATGAAGTCTAACCTGTATTCTAACTCCCTCAAATGTTTAATGCACTCTCTCTACTTGGGATGCAATTTCTTGAGTCAATTACTACTTGAAATAAGTGATCAACCAGCTGAGTTTCGTGATGTTTAGTCCAAGTGTTAAAATATCACCAAGTTCAGTTAATAAAATTCCTATCCTCACCAGATTTACATTTTTGGAGAACTATCTACAGAACTATTAGACTGTCTGCCCCCAATAGATCTCTACCTTTCAAAAATCCATAGATATTCTTCAAGTATTTATAATTCCCTTAAAATATATAATGAATTAATTTATTGAAATCTTAGTAAAAAACCCATTTTCATCCTTTATCATACTTTAGAAAGAGGTATGTTCATAAAATTTCCTTTCCCAAATATAAGAAGTCTGGATCTAAAGTAATCAACTATTCTACCTGAGAAGAACTTTTAAGGTCACAACCCAAATCTGTTCATTTTAATTTGAATTTCAGTGATTACCGCTAGCCTTTCTAGCAGTAAGATAGACTGCTAGACTTTCTCTGGCTATTTCAGTCATTTGCACTTCCATTACTTTTTTTTTTTAATGAACAGTATGTTGATGCCTTGCTCCTTTTATTTAGTGTTTTTCATGTGGTTGAACTCCTTAAGTATTCTGACTATGAACTACTATAATTATAAAAATGATAATAGCTAACCTTGGGATGTTTTATATGTAACATACTGCTCTAAGCTCTTTATATACTAACTCAATTCTCACAACAATTTTATGAGTCACATTACCACTATTATCCCATTTAACAGATGAGAAAACTGAGGCAAAAGAGGTTAAGTTAACTTATCCAAGGTCATAGAACTAGCAAGTAAAAAAGCTGGAGTTCAAATCCAGGCAGTTTGGCTATAGAGTTCAGGCTCGTACACTCTACACTGTTCTTTCTTTCTTTCTTTTTTTTTTTTATTAGTTTTAGATGTACAACACGGTGCAATAGTTATATTTTTTATCCCTCAAAGTGACAACCCTCCTCCCCCAATCCGCTGCCCCCCCAATATCATACATTATCTATTACGATTCCATTGATTCCACTCTCACACTATACTCCACATCCCTTGACTATATATATATATTCAATTATAGCTGACATACAATACTATACAACATCAGCTTCAGGTGTACAGTACAGCGATCAAGCCTCTACCCCATCCATGATGTAGTCTCCCTAACAAGACATGTGACCATCTGACACCCTACAAAATATTTACAACATTAATTATACTTTTTACCCCTCAAAGTGACAACTCCCCTCCCCCAATCTGCCACCCCACTCCCCCCCATATCATACATATCTATTACAATTCCATTGACTCCACTCCCACACTATACTCCACATCCATGTACACTGCTTCTTAATATTGCAAATATTTTTACCATTCTGCAATCTTCCTTTCAATTTGTGACTTTTGACATTTTAAATGAAAGATCTATCCAGTGACAGTTTCTTTTCTAATTTCTCTTACTGTTTCTAAGTCTAGGAAACCTTCATTCTGGAGATATAATACTGACCAAAAAAAATTAACTACTAGTGTGTCAAATTTGTTAGGTGGCAACAGTCTACATTTTTTTTTAAATGGTTAATCAGTTACCATATATGAGTTACTAATTAATACTTCCCATCTCTAATTTATTAAGCCTTAACATGACAACTTAGTATGAAGCTATGTGGCTTGGTAGTTAAGAAACATGGGCTTTGGAATCAGAGATATCAAGTTCAAGTCCAGACTCTGTCCTTTAAACAGCCCATGTGTCCTTAGGCAAGTTATTTAACCATCCTAAGGTTCAGTTAACTTTGTAAAACATAATAAAACCTTAGACTTTAAATAACTAAAAGTACACTGCACAATACTCTGTAGAATCTAATTATTAAACAATGTTATTATACATACATTATTGCAGACAAGCGCCTGTTTCTGGATTATATTGTTATTTAAATACTATTTTATTTTTGTACCTGTACTATATTATCTTTATAATTGCAGCCTTGTTTTATATTTACTAACCAGTAGGGTTAGTCCTGACCCATTAGTCCTTATTCATATTTTTCTTCTTCATTCCTAAGTCTAGTCTTTCAGATGAATACTCAAATTCCTAAGAGCCCATTTATATTTTAATTGCCATTCAGTCAAATCAATAAATTGAGTTACTCTCACTGCAGTACTCAGACTACTCGAAGAACTTGAAATATAGAATTCTATAATTCTATATAGAAATATAGAATTATTATTTTCTCCCTCCCTCTGCACAATTCTTCAAGTATTTCAAAATGTACAAAACAAATTAGTATTTATTCTATTCACAGTAATAGATATGAGGGCACTGAGATGCTTTGCTGTTTAGCTCCTCCAATTTAAAAGGTAAAGAATATTTAGCTTTAACAATGCTTAATGATTTACCTACCTCTATTGGTGTTGTTTCAGGAATCTCTCTAAGAATCACAATACAACGCTTATGACTTGGTCTCACTTTCTCGCCCTTCTCATCAACTTGTACCATGGGAGAAGCTGAAGTGTAAAAAAGAGTTAATTCAAAAGTGACAAACATATTAGTGCCATTAAAAACTTCATTTCTATTTCCAACTGAATGAATTAGCAAGGCTAATATCCTAAAGAAATTAAGTTGTAGTATCAAAGATTAGTTACAGTAAAATATTTTTAGATTAATATGCAAAAAACATTGTTAAATGTTATTCTTTGAATATTCAGAGTACCTACTTTGCGACTTAGCACTATGTTGGAGTTGGAAAAAAGCCTTCAGGGAGCATACAACACATATCTAATAAGGCAATTTCCCTGTATACAATTACCAAATTCTTTATTTCAAGACAGAACAAAAATCAGTGTACTTGCATTAACCAACCTCTACTCTTGGGAATGTAAAGAGCTCTAATATGTCAAGAAATTCTTTTTAAAATTACAATTTAAGAAGCACTTAAACCAATAATTATGCACAAATGATTATAATCTTTCCTTGATTTTAACATATTTACTTACATACTACAACAGAGACCCAGAAGCCAACTTTTAGATGCCGATTTTGAGGAAATACTGAATGAAGATAGTACTATATAACCAAAACGTTTATTTCTAGTTCCTTCAGAAAGATAATATACTACATGTCCCTCAACAGGCAAGTACAGAGAAAAAAGAAGTAGTTAAAAAAAATGCCTTGGGGGCCGGCCAAGTGGCGCGATGGTTAAGAGCTGGCTTGGGACGCCAGAAGACCCCGGTTCGGATCCCACATATGAGGGCCAGTGACACTGCCCTCTACAGCTAAGATGCTGAACAACAGCTCAACCTGGAGCTGGGCTGCTGTGAGTCACCAGTGACGGCGGGCTGCAGCCCCTGCTGCAGTGGGTTGCCATGGGCTACCGTATGTAGCCAGCAGCCAGTGTGAGCGGCCAGCAGCCACCAAGAGCGGCCGTCCAGAGGCCAGTGACTGATCTGCCTCACCCAGGAAGAGCGCAATGATGGTGCCAACTTGGGCTAGTGAAGAAATGTCCTCCACAACTAGACTGAAGAACAAAAGGACAGCAACTTGTCTGTTCCCCTTCCCCCAATTACCCAGCGCTGTTCCCATCCCCAATTCCCCAATAAAAATCTTAAAAAAAAAAAAAGCCTTGAGTATTAGTGCTAGGTTCCAGCCCTTAGGATGGGCCTACAGCTTGTCTCGGCCAATTTTTTTTATGTTCACAAGATTGGGTCATTTTAAGAAATGCCTGCACAAACCAATCAGAGATTTCATAAATGTTTTTAGCCTTCTGAGAATGAAATTCCTCTACTCTCATATAGTAAGTCTATTATTAGACTTGCTATATTTACTTTTAAACATTTTCAACAACACATTTCATATTAAAGTGAAGATTTGTCTTTATTCAATCAAGTAGTTAACAAAACCCACCTACAGCGGTTACCAAGAAATACTGATAACATACAAACACCAGTAAAAATTCTTAGAACCTCAACCTAAAACTATAAAATTATTTACCAAATTTTAGAGAAGTTTGTCAAACTGTAGGTTACAACTCTTTAATAGCTTGTAAAATAAATTTATTGTAGAATAAAAGAAAGGAGTTAATTGCAAACATTTAGTGTAAATCTGTGTAACTGACATTTCAGTTGTGTGTGGTTACGTGGCATATATGTAATGGACTGTGATGTAAAATGTACTTCTACTTGGGTTCCAAAGTTTGAAACACATTGCTTTCGAGGGTGTGGAAATGACACATAAAGCTTTCTATTGATAATAGCCCAGAAAACTGAGATTTAATTGCTAATATGTGTGAGTGGGTATCAAGATGAACAAGCAAGGTGTCAAACTGATATAGAAGCTATATACCAGTCAGTAAAAATAAATTATCGAAATAGCAAAAAATAGGGAGGTAAAAACAATTCCCTGTATGATCAGTAATCAAAAGAATATTTAATTTTTTTACTTTAAGCTAAAAGGTATGATTTACATACATCTCAACACTTCAAGAATTAGATCAGGGTCTGTGGTTAGCTTTTTTATTTCTTCCATGTTGGCAACAGTCCAAATTGGGATAAATTGATCACTGTCCATTTGCGATATCAGGTAAAGATCCTTTGACAAATTTTCTCTGAAAAAAATTAACAGAAGCAACAGTCCTTTAAAACAAACAATTCCTTAAAAGCACCTAAAGCGTGCCTTATTCACTTTTGTCACTAAGCCTAAGAAAACAAAATTATACTATCAGAAATAATACAGTGAACTATGAAAACATATGATATATAACAGAGATACTCTTAACAGCTTCCAGAAAGTTTTTCAATCCCCAAATACATGGGGCTCAACAGTTCTGAACAAGGCATTTTGTGAAATTATACTGATATGGAAAGAGACTTAACATTATATTTAAAAGCATGTTACAAAATATTACATATGGTGTAGTTCCATCTTATAAATACTTTACCATTGATGTTAGAATATGCAGTTTAAACCATGAGTTGGATCACAGATGATTTTAAGTTTATGAATGTTGGCACTTTTTAATAAATGTTTGACTTTTTATTTAAATTTAAAACATTTAAAGTTAAGAGCCAGCCGAGTGGCACGTTGGTTAGGAGTTGGCTTGGGACGCCAGCTCTGAGCAGCAGGACCCTGGTTCGGATCCCACATGAAGGCCAGTGACGCTGCGCCCTCTATAGCTAAGATGGTGAACAGCAGCTCAACCCGGAGATGGGCTGCGGTGCGCTTTCGTGAGCTGCCATGAGCTGCTGTGAACGGCCTTCCAATGGCCGGCGAGCGACTGCCTCACCCGGGAAGAGCGCAATGATAATACTAACATGGGCCAGTGAAGCAACGTCCTCCACAACTAGACTGAAGAACAAAAGGACAGCATCTTGTCTGTTCCCCTTCCTCAATTCCCCAACGCTGCTCCCCTCCCCCAATTCCCCAATAAAATCTTTAAAAAAAAATTTTTTTTTAATTAAAACAAGATTCTTTAAGATGCAAACACTTCTAACTTACCCATAAAACCATGTTTAACAAACTGAAGTAAAATCAAATTCGTATCTTATTCACATCAAATCTTTGAAGCAGTCTGGTTATAAATAGCTAGAAGCCTGCTTAAAGCCACCTTCTCAATGACCACCCTATTCAAAACTGAAACCACCCGAGCACTACTGACTCCCCTTCCCTTGCTTACACTGCTGTATTTTTTTTCCTATAGTGCTTATCACTTAACACACTTCTAAGTTGATTACTTAATACATTTATTGTTTTGGTTCCCCCAGGCAAACATAGGTTCCATGAGGGATATTTGTTTTTCAAAACTGTGTTTCAAAGCCCTCGTGATTGGCAAAGAGTAAGGTCAAAGGCCTTTACATTAAAATTTTATTAAAATAGAGTAGTTACTTTTTAAGGATAGAATTGTCAACAAGTGGTGGTTACTTGGGTTGGTAAGGAAAAATAGAGGCTACTAGTAAAGGTTAAACTCACGTTAGCATCAAAGAAAAGAACATACTAATATCACCCTAATCAAAAAGATAGTCTTTTAGAACTTGAAAATAAGACAATTGTAAACATAATATTTGCATAATTAAAAAGTTATATCCTAAATCAACTTTGACTTTCAGCAGGTCTATTCTTATAAAACTGTGTGTCAAATCCTTAAAGAAACTGTACCTTCCAGAAGTCAAATTAATGGCTGTAACATCAAAGATTTGAATATTCATGACTAATATCTGACATGTACTAATGGCAGTTTTGCTGAGCTACAAATGCCAGTTAACCAACTGGTTTGAACTGTATCACAGCTCTGAGCAGAATGTAGTAGATCATGACATGCAAGAGCTCCCACTGCAACAACCAAAAAAGTTTAAATTACAAAAGTCATGTTTTCAATGATAAAGGAGAGCTGTGGAAGCTACAAGGACAAAATGAAATTCCAGAAAGACCATCTTTCTTTCCAGAGGGCATCTGCAGATCCTGGACCAGAGGGAAATCAGCAGAACTTGAAGGAGTTGCAAAGGACTAAAGGAGCCCCCAACACACAACTGTTTACTGAGTTCTAAGGAGGAAGGTGAAAGACTGGGAGTCAGGTTGAAAAGGAAGAGTAAAATTTCCATGGTCTTGTGGAAGTTCCAGTGGAAGGAGGAACCTTGCATCAAACACAAGCTAGGTCTCCCCCACAAAACATTTGCCAGATTTTGAAGCTGTGTAGTGTTTAAGAGGCCGAAGAGCTAATCTAAAACTGCTGAAGACAACTAAATCTCCATGGGTGTTTCAGGACTGAGGTAATAGACAACTGCCGACTTCTAAATCAAAAGCCTAAGAAGGTCATGCCTAAGGAACAGACATAAATTAGAGGTGGACAGAGTCTAATTAAAATGGCTGCTCAGCCCTGACCCAGATTAACTCCTGATTGAATCGAAGCAATCAATCTGCTTCTGCCTACCAGAATAAAGGTCAAATCTTTTCTAGAGGAAAAAATTGTCACTTGCAGTTTCTAGCTCCTTTTATATGTAATATCCAGCATATAATAAAAATTTATAAGATATGCAAAAAAGGCAAGAAATTATGACAGAGAATCAAGAGAAAAAACTCTGACTATAAGCAGACACACAAATGATCCAGTTAGTAGGCAAAGATTTTAAAATACTTATTACAAGTATGTTACAGAAAATGAATTGTATCATAGGCACACCTGACTAGAGAAAAGAAAGCCAGAGGTTCTTGCTTTTATTCTAGGCCTGTACTAGACTATGAAGACAATGAATAAAAAGGAGAAGAAAAGGAAGATGTTTAGGATGAAGAATCAATTAAACCTGAGTAATGGGTGTATTATGTGTCAAGATATGAAGAAAGTCTATGATAAAATCCAGGTTTCTAGCTTGAAAAATTGGTTCACTACCTCTCACCAGATACAGGAAAAATAGAAAGCATTACATCTGCATGCATATCCAAACTTCCATTCATTTTGGAAGGGGCAGTTCTACATATTGAAGTTTTATGATGTTTAAGCTATAAATATACAGTCTTATCTGTAAAAACGACATCTTGAAACTTTTGCCTGAAAGAACTCTATTTAATAGAAGACACTGGTAATATAAATTCAATGCTCATCTACTCGTTGCCAAAAATAACTCTATGATCAAAGGTTATAAAAGCCAACTAGAAAAAAATACAAATTAAGAGATAATCACTTTTTTGAGAACTTTAAACCTGAATATGTTCATAGAAAAAATATCCAAGAGAAATTTCATTATCTTTCTACTGAGACTAGATCCTTTGCATGTCCAACTGAGGACATCTTGAAATCTAGTTAAGACATATGCATATGCTGAAGACTAATACCAAAATATATCACTGAAGGAAATAAAACCATTGTTCTTCCACTCTATTTCACAGATATTTTACATTTAATAACCAAACAATTCACAAAAGGAGAAATATAAAAAAAATGATAGTGTACCGTGAAAAACAGAATTCTAATTGTTTCTTCAGACATTCTTTTAGGTCTTCTGTAGAAATTGCTGAATTGCTTTCTCCTGATGGTAGTAAACAAGAGGGAAAACATTAATACCAAATTACCATAGGTGGTAAACATCACACTTTGTTGAACTCAGAATAAGTCACAAAGTATGCACAAATTAAACCCTCACAAAACTGTATATTTAATTATTTTTAGAATTTAGATAACTCAAAGACTAAATTTACTTCAACTTGACCTTCATTCTCAGATAGATTTCACTTAAGTTTAAAAACGATTTTATCAAGTAATTAACAAAGCACCATTTATACTACACATACTTGGCTAGCATATTGTAAAATACTACCCTAAATACTTTAAAAATGTGAAAACTATTCCTTTGATGAAAATCCAAAGAACAAAAGTAATAGTAATCTAAATTTGAAGACAGTAACTAGCTAAACAAAGTGGGATATTTACATGTGTGTGTATTTATATCTATCTATCTATCTATCTATCTATCTATATATATATATATAGAGAGAGAGAGAGAGAGAGAGGGAAAAAGAGAGAGAGAGAGAGAGAGAGAGATTTATGCTATTGGTAATAAATCTGATGTTAGTCACATTCCTTAAATTTCTCTCTCTTAATACTCTTTTTATTCCTTAACTTTAGAGCACCGTTATCTTCCTAGGAATATTTAAAGCACTCAAACATCCTAAGGATCAGATCAACTCTGTAATTGTCTTCTATGCTTTCTATTATTTAACCCAGAACATGAGACGTTTTTTCAGGACTCAAGCCTGGAAAACCATCACTCTCTTATTAGACTCTCACACAAAACATTAGACTCAAAGTATATAATCTTCCTCTTCTTAAATAGCATTAATAATTAATTTCTTTTAAATACACAGACAATAGGATGTATATGTAAAGATAAATAAATTTTGTACATGATTTTACCAATACCTTGTCTTACTACTCAAGATTCAAAGTGGTACAAGATATTAAATTAACTTCATTAAAATGAATACAAGAAGCCTCTATTTCTATGTATATGTAATCCTTCTGATACTAAATTCATCTACCTAAATGCTAGCTAAATGAGCAACAACTTCATTTAACTTTTCAATGTCATTATAGCAAACTTATTAAAATACCAACTGGTTGTCACATCATTTAAACCAACTGTGTTCAATAGCCAGTAGGTTAGGTATATTATGACAAGTAGGGAGTAGAACCTACCACTTTAAATTATTATATAAAAATACCACCCCATTCCACTTCAGAAATCAATTTACAAGCCTTCAGACCCTAGAAATCCAGTTTACGTATTTATAATAAATAAGGAAATTGAAGCTAAAGGTTTATATAGCTTGAATGAAGTCAGATCTAAGCAGCGATAGAAATGCCTAACTCCCCAATCCCATTATATTTATTTTCCAGAGACCCTTTAGAAATTAGAAAAACGAAGTTAAGCAGTTAGGGTCTATGGTCCATTTTTAGTTTATTTTAAATTGCATACATTTAAATCCAATCAAATACTAATCCATGCCAATTAAGTGAATGTGAGAAAAATATAATTCACAAGTTGAATTATAATAGAACCATGTTTTTAATATAGCCTTTTCCTTAAAATTAATCCCCACAATTTCACATTTATAAATACATTTCACACTGACAAAAGTGATGGGAAAACTGACAGAACTTTACAACGATCACAACTAATAGACCAAGAAATTGGACCCCATAGAAGATTGTAATTTAGGTCTCTCTTAACTATTTTGACTATTTTTTTCCTTCTATGTTTAATTTCACACTTTCCTTTAATAGGATATTTAAAGTAAACATTCTTTTTAAATTACAATGTTCATGTTTGGTCATTTGAAAACAGTATTTATAACAATCACCTAACATTAACATAAACTTCTTTCCAAATAAGAAAATAAATTGATCAATGCCATCGGTTCATTAGAACAATGATAAAAAGACTTGCACATTGCATTCTCATTTTACCAATAAAACCATAAAGTTTACCAGAAACGTCATATATTTGGTAACTCAGATCTTCCGGCCCTAAAATCATTCCATCAGTTGATTCTTCAATGCCTGTAGAATTTCTTGTGGTTTCACAAGATGAATACATTACTTCATATTCCTTACACATATCATCTGAAAGCTCTGTATTACCTGTATGAAAGAAAACGTATTGAAAACAAATAGGAATTCTTCAAATCCCATCTTTAGGAACTCTGGGACCTATGTCTTCTATAACAAGATTTTAAGGAACTCTACCAGTTAGGAAAATGTCCACATGGTTTTAAATTAAGAGTTCTCTTCCCAAGGGAGATACGTTTTGATGATTATGGATAAGCTAAAATGATTAACAATATAAACTCATATAGCACTATGTATCAGACAGATTCATGCACTTTATTCATTTAATTCTCAGAGAATCCTATTTTCAAAAGTAAAAGTAATTATTATTATTATTGTTGTTTTACAAATGAAGGACACGAGCATGGAAAAGTCATTTGCCCAAGGTCAAACAGTGAGCAAACAGCATTGCCAATGATAGTAGATCAAAACTAATTTATAAATACCACATTATAAATGAATTAAATGCCGGACCCAAAGATACGAGTATAGCTATGATTTGAAATTAGAGACAATTCATTCATACTAGATATGAGAACTGTACACAAACTACATGTTAAACACTTATAAATATATTTAATGAAATAATCTAAGGATGTACCCCAAAGTTCTATAAAATGGTTTGGCCACATGTTTAACCAAAATGTGATTCGTTCTGATAAAATATTTAGGACTTACCCTCAGGATGGGACCCTGATGTGGCTGCTGTTTCATGCCAAGAGCTTTCAGTTCCATGAGTTACTGGAGTGGCATCAGTATTTCCAGGAGGAATCTCTTGCCATACTTTGGCATTAGGATTTAAACCAGTTCCTTTAGATGTTACCTGCTAAATAAACAAAGGATCTATTTGTAAATTTTAAAAGGCAGTGCTCTAAAAATACAAATTTAGATAAAAGACTTTTCCATCACTTAAATGTGAAGAAAACCCCCAATATTAAGTAATTTTATAATTAAATATTAAATAAATAATATTTTAAGTTTTAGGCTCAACTTGAAAATATAAATCTTTTTAAGTGGATGAACTTGAAATGTCTATATAAAATTTAACTACCTACCATAAAAAAAACTATAAAATACTGTTAATGTAGAAATACCACTTTTACATCAACTGCTTGCAAATGTCATAAAATGTATTCCAACATATTTATAACATCTTTGACATTAGTGTGTTTGTGTATCTAGAGCAGGTTTTTGAGTTATCCAGAGTGATTTTCCAAAGTATATAATTTTTATTGCCATCCAAGCTGTGACAGAGACCTGTGAGTAAATGATTCTATCACTGGAAATTTCTTCCCAAGTCAAAAACATCAATCTGCCTTACATTTGAATGTGCTTTTCCATCTGTCCTCAAATTGTATATCCTTAATGTCCACAAGACTATGTAACATATTACCTTCTAAAGTGGTCTTTTGCAGACTCACTGAGGTGAAAAGTAGAAAGGGATCACAGTATGGAGGGTGGGGAGCAGAAGAAGATTCAACAATTGGAGAGAGAGGAAGAAAGCAGGATACAAAAATACACTTCTCTCACCTCATTCAAGCACACACAGGTCTTGATCCTTCCAAGTACATTAATGACCCTTCAAAAAGTTTACTCCCTTTCCAGAAAGTTAATTTTAACTGTCTTCTTAGCCATAGGCTCCTCCCCTGGATGGCAGGCACCAGAAGGTGGATTCAAAATATTAAAGCTTATGACCTGCAAATCCTGGGGCTTCCCAGCTTTCATGAAAAATAACTGGTACACAATGAGCCACTTAACCAGGAGGTTGTTATAAATTCTGTGTACATGGAGGGAGTTCTTACAACTGACACTGGCTCATGGGGTTAAAAAAAAAAAAATCAGCCTTTAAGGTAACCCCAACACCCAAACATGGCAAACCAAAGCAGGACTCTGGGTAGGCAGAACTGCAGAGTCCCCCGAGTTGTTGAGAAGACTCAGCTTTTGGTAGGCCTAACTGTACTTCCTGCAATTATGTCCTATGAAATTCCTCTGTAAACTTTTAATCTAATAAATCATTTTTTCTTGAGTTTCCATACTATGCAACTATTATGACTAACATGGCTTAAATGTATGAACCAATGAAACATTGCTTAATTATACTCTACAGCTTGCCATACATATGTACATATATTCATATATATACATATATACAAACATACATATAGGAACAGTTGTGTTTTTCCAGGACCCATGAGCTCCAAGTCAAGAAGTTGTTTCAATCTAGTTGTGGAGTGCACAGCTTAGCGGCCCATGTGGGTATCGAACTGGCATCCTTAGTGTTATGAGCACTGCGCTCTAACCAACTGAGCTAACCAGCCACGCTTGCCATATATTTTTTGATTGCTCATCAAATAAAATCCAATTTGGGAAAAAGGAGAAAGCTCAGACACAAAGTCCTTTTCCATGTCAAGGTTCATTCATATTTTGGGAGCAGGGCTGGGCCTGAAATGGTGATGGCAGTGCTCACTTCAGCAGCACATATGCTGAAATGGTGATAGTAGCAGCAGTATTTTATTGTTGATACTGTTTAGAATTGGCAGATACAGGATAATAACAAGCATAGCCTTTTAGTCAATTTATTATTGTTTTTAAATTCTCTATAGACAATACTTCCCCTTTCTGCCTTCACCACAGCGGTACCCTCCCACGGCTTTGCCTTTGGAAGTCAGCCGATTACATGTGATTTGGGAAGTTAGATACAGCTTAATTTCTGTCTGATGGCACCAAAAAAAAAAAAAGAGAGAGAAAAAATTGTGACAGCCTAGCCTAGCCTTCCTGCCATGTAAACAGGATTTAATTTGAAATTAAGCATTTTAATAGAACATCTATGTACTTATCCTCTCCCGCCCTTTCCTCAATTCTGAGAATACCAATTTTGTTCCTGCCCAATAAAATGGCAAATAATAAAGACTACAACTCTCAGAAAGAAAAATCAAACTTCTGAATCTTGATAAATGCAATAAAAAAGAAAAAAATTCATTTAACTAATAAAATCTATGCATGAAAAAGAAACAGAGGAGCCATATACCTACTAGAAAGATACCTAACATATAGAATTGTTATGCAGAGTAGTATGTGGCTTTAGTAAAGCAAAATAGGAATTATTTCAAGGTAGTTAAATATTAACATATTTATTTATATATAAACATATAATGGTTGGGCCAGCTAAGTGGCTCAGTTGGTTAAGAGTTGGCTTGAGAGCACCAGCTCTGAGCAACAGGGCCGCCAGTTCGATTCCCACATGGGCGAGTGATGCTGCGCCCGAGCTGAGCTGTCGCTGAGCTGCTAACAGACGGCAGGATGGCTCAGCTGGTGTAACAATAAGATTTCCTGTTCGATGGTGGGCTATGCCCACCCGCAACTAAGACTGAACTTGGCACCTTGAACTGAGCTGCTGCCCGGATGGCTCAGTGGATAGAGCATGTGCTCTTAACAACAAGGCTGCTGGTTCGACTCCAGCATGGGATGGTGGCTACGCCCACCCACAACTAAGATTGAACACACACTTTGAGCTTAGAGGCCACGAGCTGCCGATGGGAAGACAGATGGCGACTGGCACCCTCCACTATTAAGACTGAAGGACGACAACTTGCCTGTTCCCCTCCCCCAAGTCCCCAATAAAATCTAAAAAAAACCCCAAAGGGCCGGCCGAGTGGCGCGATGGTTAAGAACTGGCTTGGGACGCCAGAGGGCCCCGGTTCGGATCCCACATATGAGGGCCAGTGACACTGC